TGTACTTATTTTCCTGTTTTTTTTTTTCACATTTGCTGGAAAAACTCTTGGGAAAATTGAAAAATTACCTCCCTAAAGTACCTTCTCAGTCAGATTTCCTTTTAGAAAAAGAGCTTATATTTTAATCGAACAAAATTGCTGGTAGAAAAGTTGTAAACAGAAAAAAAAGCCAAAAATCTTTTTTACTAATATCTACATACTCGTATTGTAAATTTTTCATTTTTCCAACATTTTAAACCGGTTTTTCCCAGATACTATGAAAATCGTTTGAAAAATCAAAACAGACCTCCCAAAAGTACCATGTAGATAAAATATCCTTTTAGAAAATAAGCTACACTTGATACACCCGAGCAAGTTTTCTGGTAGAACTTTTCACAGCAAATTAAGTGGTATTTTGCGATTAAAATAGCCCGAACGAGCGATGGCTCGAGTCTGTAGGTTCACCCAAAATGCATTTGTTTTTGCCTTGTTTAGATAGAAGGGAGGAAAAAATTCAATAAATTTGATTGGAAACCCGGATTTGAATTTGTGACCCTTAGGATAACAAGAGGTATGTATCATTTATGTATTATGTATAATGGTTATTAGATCACGACAAACATTCTTTAAAAAAAACAATATATATAGTTATTTAACACAACATATAAACGCATAATATCAGAACTTCAAATAGCAGTTGTTTCGAAACTTAGTCAGTCCACTCAGTTCTGATTTCACCATAGTTCTTAAATCGCTCTTAAATTGTATTCTATATTAATAGTGTAGAAAAAAATCAAAACGGGACGAAACTCGTATGACTAAATAAATTATACGAGCAAAACTTGAATAATTAATTAAATAACACGGGACGGAATTAGTATATCCATTTTAAAAACCAATAAATTCTTCGCTACACTCAGTATCAAAAAGACAAACGGCATAAGATGAATGGTAATAATAAATCATTAAAAATACAACTTCATCATTAACTCATCTTTGCCATCATCCTCTAATGGCCAACTTCCAAGTTACTTGAGTTAAATAACCTAATACAATAAGACTTGGACTTATGGTTATCAATTATTAAAAATCATAGAATGAAAGAATAACATTTTACAATATTATAATTTGTTAATTTATTATTAATATTAAAATTAAGGGCTGATATTACTATCAGTTATAACTAAAAAAATGTATGATAGTAAAAAAAAATTCACTTGGTCAAATTGATTTATGTGTACTTACATCAAATGTACCATAAATTGTATTCAAAATAAATAACTTAAATAACCAATTTTCCCTAATCTATTTTAACCAAAAAAATAAATATAATTACTATCAAATTACAATTAGCAAAATATGGCTCAACCACTTTTGGCCAGGTTCCAAAGATATATTGATCACAAAATTTCAAGTGTACTAATTAATTACAAGTATTTTAATATTTCAAATTTATATATTTAATATATATTAGTTTTTTAATTTCTTAAATTTAAATGTTATATACATCAATATATGATAGAAATAATAATTTTATATTGTTGTACATTATTTTTTGAACTTGATAATAATGTACAATGTTATAAATAACATGTTCATTATTAGTCAAATGTAATTTAATAAATTAATTAATACTAACATAATTACACTATTACATCATTATTACTAAAAATTACTTTTCAATTGCTTTGAATATTATTAAACATTTTTTATAAAAATGCAATTAATAAACAGGGCTCAGTTACTTATTCAGAGCTGGATTTTTTGCTAGGAAGATGGCCTCAGACACAGATCCTAGATTTTCTTAATGATATAAAATAATACTATTATGTAATATATTATATATTATAGCCATATCAACAATTTTCTTAATGATATAAAATAATACTATTATGTAATATATTATATATTATAGCCATATCAACAATATTGCATAATTCCAAAAAAAAAAGTATTTTTTTTTTTTTTGAATTAAAATTAATGAAATATATTATTTGAGAAACTATGAATCAAAATTGACAAAGTAGTATTAGATTGTTAAACATATATAGAGAAAGAATAAAAATAAATAAATAAATCACAGATAATTACCCAATCAATAAAATCTGTTTATATTAAAGCAATAGAAAATATTTTTGAAAAATAAATATACCTATTTCCTATAGGTAATAGTGAATAAAAGAATTGTATTACTTATGTGAATGTACATTATATTATTTATGAACTATGATAAATAAGAAAGAAAGGAAAACAACCCAAAAAGAAAAATATTTTTGTACTTATCATATTTAATAATTTACGGCACCTAATTTACATTTTAAGATACAATTCTTACTTTTTTGGTTCAATAAAATCCAATTTTGTTTAAATAAAAATCAACAATTTATTGTGATATGTATTATGATTATTGTTCATTAATTAATTATTATTTATTAATAATTAACCAATATTCTAATATTGTTATAAATTATGTATTATAACTCACAATGATTGCATTATAACTTATAACTTATAACTTAATAAGAATATATGTACATTTGAAAACATACAAATGTAGATAAAAATTATTGTATTATAAATTATGTACTCATTACTTGTTTTGTTATAATTTTGTCATTCTATATTTTTAATGAATTAAATATTTATGAAAAAAATTATTTGTTTTCTTAAATATATCTTAAAATTAATTTCAGTTTATTTTCAGGATTTTTCCCTTTAAGGGTGTACCATAAAAAACAGGCTATTGTCTCTCGACCTTGACCTTCCTCTCCCCCTAAACAAATAATATAGTGATTATAAAATATTGATTCACTAAAAATTATATTTTTCACTATCATAACGTATTAAAGTATTATAACGGCTTAAACTACATTTACAAATTCCAAAAATCAGAATTTAATCAAAATTTAACCAAAACAATGGAATCAGCACACTTAGTGAATGATCCTGTACATCAAGGGTGGTCAAATGAAAGAGGGGAATGAGAGATATTTCCCCCCCCCCATCACCTCATTTTCTTAAATATTTATAATATACAAGATAATTTTCTTAAGCATACTCACCCAGCATTATTATAGTTTAATAATACATAAATTAAAATTCTGATTTTTAGGATACTAAGTATAGTGGGACAATATTTTTGAATACTTAAATTATTCACAACATTTATGGAGTGTATTAATACTAACAACTTTGGTTTTTCAAAGAATCTACATGTTTTGAAATAATACTTAAAAATTTTCAAAGAAATCAGCCGATTGATAAATTTGATCAAAATATATAGACTATCATTTGAAAATTTGGATCACCACAGGATACTCCTTAAATATTTTAAAAGATCTAAGTATGTGAAAATATCATTAATCACTGTAATAAAAAAATTCTAAAACTCAAAATATGAATTCATGCATAATTGAACATTACAAATGGTGTATTCTTAAAAAAACACCTGTATATTATATTATACCTTATGTTATGAAAAAATTAATAATAGTTTGTAAAAATGATCGGTATCCCCACTCTATGATCGAATCAGCTGACCACCACTGATATACATATATTAATGAATACAATATTGAAATGAGTATATACTTACCTATTTATAGAATAATTACTTGTTTATTTTGAAAGGAAATAACATTATGATTTTAAAATGATAAATAAATCATAACCTGACATCTCTATAACAGAAAGACATCTTTGAAAATGTCTTATTGTTACACCAAATGAAAAATTTAATCATAACAATTGTTTCTTCATATTATATAACAAATAGATTTATGTGTTTGTTGCACCAAACTAGTACAAGATATAAATCTTGGGTTCTGTATTACATCATATTTTTCAGCTCATTTCATAGATTTATAAGTAATTTGCATAATATTTTTGTAAAACCAAAAAATTGATTCCTGAACAACTTATTAAAATGGAGCTGTCTGGTTCTTGCACAGAATTCTTCAGAAGTATTATATTTATCAATGAAACATCAAAGATATACATTTTTTCCTAATGTAAAGGTACACTGATAAATTGTTTGAACATTATTATAGTATTGTTTATTTTGAAATTTTATAATCATATACCTACTCATAACCTATGACTTCAAGTTAAAAAGTTGAACATTTAGTAAACAAATTTTTTGTTTAAAAGATATCTTACTTGACTGTTAAAATACACATTCAAAATTAAATAATAACATAATCTAAATTTTATTTTATTTTATGTTATTAAATAATTAAATAATTGCATATCTAAATTTATTCAATTCTAACTCTGCTATCCCTACTTTGATGTCAAAATCGCTAATTAACAAAGAAATACAATGAAGACCATTTTGTACATAGTTTATATAAATTTAAAAGTAACCTCAAGTTAAATGTTCATGTTTAGTTAATATTTTAGGAAGGTATATTGAAATTAATATTGTATGTGACATAAACTTGTTTAATGTAATTGGACTTATGCCTAAAAGAACTATACAAAAATAAAACAAATTATCCTTAATACAAATATTTAAACTCACCAGGTGTAAATAATAACTATAATAATAACATAACTATATGCCCAGTCCCTGACAATACAAAATTTGAATGGTTGCTTCAATTTTTTTTCTCTTATGTATAATGCAGTTAATAATATATATATACATTTATATTAATTATATTAATAGCTAAACATGATTAGGTTTACAAAGGCTACAAACAATGTACGTAATTGAACCTCACCTAATAACTCAGTTTATTTATATTTAATACCATACGAAATAAGAAAACCACGCAAACAAATTTTATTTAACTATTCAATTTATAAGAATATATTTATTAATTACCAAATAAACAACATTGACATATTTAAACAATATAGTATACATAAAATGAAACAACTGAAAAACTGGGTAATGTAAAAAAAGAAGAAAATAGTTTTAATATTACTATTTTATTTGTTTGAATAGCAAGAAAAAAAACATTAAAATAAATATAAATAATTCAATTTTACTGATGAAAAAAAAAAAATTCAATTTTGCTGATGAAAAAAAATAATAATTCAATTTTGTTGATGAAAAAAAATAATAATGATATAAGGTTGATTAATAATAAATGCAAAATAATAAATGAATTAATAAATATGGAAAAATATATTAATTTCTTAGAAGAATAAATGTATTCTCCCTAGTAATCTTATTTATACATCTGAGATTTTTTGGATATAGCTTTAATTATTTCATGACCAATAGCCTTACCCATAGGAGGGGGCACCGCATTTCCAATTTGCCGATGTTTGTTAATAATTGGGCCATAGAATAAAAATGAATCATTAAACCCTTGAGATCGTGCACACTCTCGAACACTTACAACACGATGTTGTTCCGGATGTAGCACCCTGCCCTGTTTTCCCATAGGTTCTGGATTGGTTATTGTTGTTGAACAAAATCCTGACCAAGAGAGACGCCCATATAAACCGGCCCAATTGTTATGTCTGTTTGCTGTATGAGGGAGACACCATGGTATGATTGTGTTGTTCTGACGATATTGTTGACTACAAGCCATTCCACTGGCACAATCGCAGACTCCACGTAATTCACCGTCCGGACCTTTACCATTCTTTACATCATGATAGTTATACATAAGAATGTTAGTTATAGTTCCATCGGATAATTTTACTTCTTTATTCGGCAAATCTCTCCAATCACTTCCATCGCGTGTAGGAATCAGTTCAATTCTGGCTTGCACTAAAGGTGCCATATCTTTACAAATATGATCCGTTAATATAGATTCTGCAAAACTATTTTTAGGATATCTCAGTAGTCTTTGAGTATGCGTTATAGGTTTGTGTTTATAGGGAATTGCTTCGTTGTTTGCTCCATTTGTTATTTCAGGTAAATCTGACCAAGCATCGTACACTGTAACTGTTCTTAAAGGAGCAGATTCATCATATTTGCAATTTGTTCTGTATTTTTTATCGTGAATTTGTACATTTACACTCGAGCTTCTCTTATTGAACACATGAGTGGGCTCTGGATACAATGGTAATGATTCACCAGGTGCTGCTGCCAAAATTATCAACCTTCTCCTTGTTTGAGGTACACCAAAATTACCGGCTTGAAGAATACCGAAAGAGCATTGATAGCCCATACGTGTTATACACCTAAGAGTTAATCTTAAAGTCATACCTTTATTAAATGATACAAAATTTCTAACATTTTCCATAACAAAAAATTTTGGTCTGTAGTAGTCAATATATGATAAAAATGAAACAATCAAAGAGTTCTTAAACAATGAATATTGACCAGAATTGAAACGGTTCATACCACTGAATCCCTGGCATGGGGGACCTCCACAAATAAAATCTACTTCGCCTCTTTGTGGTATCTTTTGATTTTTGTCATTAGTTTTTCTACCAGACATGGCTAACTTTAACAAATGATTGCAATCTTCAATAAATACAGTTGAATTGGGGTTATTCAATTTAAAGGCAGCAGCGGCTTTATCATCACTCTCTATAGCCCATTCGGTATTCAGTAATCCACTGTCTTCTAAGCCCTTAGACAATCCACCGCACCCTGCAAATATATCTAGTCCTCTAAGTGGATTAATTTTTTTATGAGCTGGTATATATTGTATTTTATCTTCCTTTACATAACTATAATTATAATTAACATAAACTTCCATTCCAACCAGTCTTGCTTTACTTGGAAGTTTATATTCTGGAACAATGGAGCCAGTTAAAAAATCATATTTAGTTTTGAAGTAAAATCGATCAGGTCCACCAACAAACCAAGCCATGGGATCTTTAATGTTTGCAATGTGTGATACATAACATTTTGCAATTATATCATTATATCCTATTACAAACTCCTCATCTGACCAAAAGAGCATATTCATATCCAAACTTTTGTCATTGCTAATTTGTTCTGCTCTATACATACGTCTTATAATGGCTTTGATATTTTTTTTATCACCTTTAGTAACATATATTGCTATAATCTCTCCAATTTCAAAAGGATCTGGGGTTGATTCATTGGAACCACGCATTGAATTTTCCAGTGTCTTTCGATAATATTCAGGGTACTCAGTTTCATCAACATTTTTTAATAATGGACTATTTTTATTTTTTTTTGTATCATTTAATACGAATGATCTATGTTCTACAAAGTTTAATCTTGAAGTTTTTGAAAATATCCCAGGCTGTAAGTAAATAAAATTTCCAACTTTGTATGTTTCATTCAATAATTTGAAATTATAAAAAAAATATAAATCTTTTTTTTTTTCTACATATTCAAGTAATTGTGGAATTTGAGATTTTTTTTCCAAATTTTCCTTTACACAGTTTCTACATATTTTGTTTTCATTTGGATCATGCATAGTATCATCTATATCAGAACTATCTATATCTTCAAATCGTGCACATTCATCATTATACTGAAATTGAAAAAAAAATGTATTTATTTCTTGTCTATTAATTGGTTCTGTAATATCTTCTAATTTAGAGTCCCCGAGATTGAACCAATCTTTGCATGGCTTTTTATATGTTACATCAACAACTTGAATTACATTATTAATATTAATATCAGTACATTTGTTTAGAAGAAATATTTCCCGAGGGTCTGATGTATCGCCAAGTATTGTTTTATTACCATGCATAAATAAAACTATGTGGACCATAGTTGCAGAGTTTTTTTGAAACATGTATTCAATACGACCAATTATCAGATCAGTAGAAGAATCTTGTTTTGCAACAATAAATATTTTCTTATTCGATTTTGGAGGTCTCTTAAAAGCATATTTGCATAATCTAATATCATCAAATACAGTCTTAACATGTTCTTGTAAAACTTCTTCACTTTCTTTATCACCATCATTATCCAATTGTGCAGCAAACATATTTTCAAATATGTTTTTTACTAGTTCTGTAGTAGTGGCTTTACTGAACTCTCTTTTACTAATATCAGCTTTCACAGTATTTCTTCTACGTATATTTAATCTTCTACGAGGTGCTTTGGTGGGTTTCACAGCTCCTGAAAGTTCTGTCAATGTTTCAATACATTGTGTATCAACTAATGGGAAACGATATTCAGCAGTTGAGTCATATTCTATTACTTGATCAAGTACGAATTGGGCGTGAGCAATGAGATCTTCTTCGGTAAATTTGATATTTGTTGCAGGATTTATAGAATTTACTACAGAATTTAAAACATCCTCATAAGTTGAATCGTCAGATTCTTGATTATCTAATATTCTTTCTATAACTAGTTTACTTAGATGTATCTTTTCAATTACAGATGTCATGTACTTTTTGTAATTTTGATGTGGTTCAACCAATAAATAATCAGCAAATTCAGTGCAAACACCAATTATTACCTTTGAACCACCATCATATGTTGTTAAAAACCACTCAAAAATGGGCCCTAATTCTTTAACTGCAATTCCATTTTCAATACAGGTATCATGATCATAAATTGGTTTTACATAACCAGTTAAATATATTGGTACATTTCTTTCCATAATTCCTGAATCCATTGAACACAAGTGTCCATTTTCGTCATAAATACTATAGTTAGTTATATTATGACTTATAACATCTAATTTATCTGTGTAAATATTTGCTAAAACATCATTTGTGAGTACAATACATTCAATTTCAGCATCAGAAGGAATACTCACAATTTCTGGTTTTATTTGATAACAGAATTTACATTTTACTGTACCTTCAATATTGTGTTTTGTACCATTAGTCAGAAATTCACCATTGGCAGTTTTGACTCGTTTTGTTTTCGTTTCAGAAGATGATCTGCTTAATGGCCGTTTAGTTCCTTTTGAACTCGATGGGGCATATAACCTAGACGCCATGTGTGACGCCTTTGTTTATTCAATAGGTCTAGAAAATGGTAGGAAAGAGCCACTTTGTTAATCAAAATAATAATAAGAAACAATTCTAGTTTAGCTCTCACATGATTTTTTTGGTTTTTTTTTTCGAAATGTGTGTTTTTGCATGTACATTAAGAATGTAAAAAAAAAGTAGTTTGGATTGACATTGTTTATGTACAAATGTTTATGTATACAAATTTATGATGATTTGGAGTTAATGGTTAGTATCCTAGAATGTATACACTGTTTATCATATGAACTTCAAAATTCAAATATTATTGTCAAATTTATTTATTATATTATTATTATCAAAGGCTGTGTTATTGTTAATGAAATCTTCAAGGAACAATATCTTAAACGTTGCACTATGAAAATTAGTGATTAAAATTTCAACAAAAAGTAATCTGTAATGGAATACAAATTCAAAATCATAGTTAAAATCAGAAAAAAAAGAATAAAAATAAAAATTTGAAGGATTATTTATTAAAACAATTTTCAGAAAATATAAAAAAATAAAAAGATGTTTCATATATAAAGACTGAACTGTTGTATCAAGTGATTGACAGGTATTTATTAGATAACTAATAATAATAATAATAATTAATAATTAGATTAATTAATTAATTCATAAAAGTATGTGTTATTTTTTTAGGATTGTAGCGCAGTTAGAACAAGCATAGTATGAACAAATCTTTAACATATTTAAAGTATTTGCTTATACAAATGCTGACATTTTTCAGGCAGAATGTGCTACTGTTATTAAATACTTAGACCACTACAAAGGTTTTCAAATTAATTCTTTAAGAGGACATTATACATGATCTACTGTCTCAGTCCAACTACGGATAACATGCAAAAACAATGCTTATACAGAATAAGTAAAACTAGCTTAGTTTAGATTTTAGAATTAATATACCTATTAATAAATTTATAGAGAACAATATTTTGGAAAGAATTTCATAGGTGTTTTTTGAGTTATAAACTGTTAATAAGTTACAGTTATTTAAAAATCAAAACCAAAAATAAGGTTATTATTAATAATAAAAATAAATTAT